TTGGGCTGAGGGGTAGACTTATCATGCCAAGGAGCATACTTCAACAGGTATCTGGGCCCAGACTATGTTAATTCATTACAAGTCACCTCATTCATATCAAGAATCCTTCAATTTGAACTTGGTTCCTGGTGATTTCATGGATACGTCCATTTGTTTTACTTTGCAACAATCTACCGGTACTAATCTACCCTAACAGTCGGGGCAACTGAAGTTGCACTATGACTGGGTTGATGACCTTTACTATGGGGAAAAGTCCCATGAATTTTGGCCCCAACTTCTTACTAGGGAGCCTTAACCTCAAGTATTTGAGTTTGTCATTGCTTTCTTCTGGAATCTTTTTCTAGTCTAGACTAGCCAATAACCCAGACCAGAAATTCCTTGAAAATCTCCCATCCAAGTGCTAGTCACATCTGATACAATTTACATTCTGAGCCCACATAAGGTTGACCAGGTCCTGTTGTTGGGAAACTCATGTAATTATTCTCCTTGTGTTTCAGGTTAACAAATTCAATTCAGTAGCACTTTTAGAGGGAGCAAGAATGCTTGCTTAAATCTAGAAGTTGGAGATTAAATCTCTAGCTGGCTAGAGAATTCTGGGAGCTGAAGTCCACAAGTCTTAAAGTTGCCAAGTTTGGAGACCCCTGTGCTTCAGGGTTGAAAGGATTAGCCAGTGACATCACCATTGCCTGTGGGATGCTCAGTTGGGATGGCAGGATATGGAGCCAAGGACACAGAGCAGCACTTGGCTCTTGAATGCAGGCTTGCTAACCTCCAACCCAGCAACCTAACCTCACACTACTCCTGTGATTTGCGATTAGAAGCTATGGTTTTCCCCTGGTCAATAAGACTACTACTGGTCAATAACACCACTACTCACATTTGTGGTGTCTTAATTGACATTTTACATTTTAAGTGTTAAAGGCATAGCTAGAGAGTATTAAATTGTTTATGTAGGATGACTTAATGAAAACCAGAGATGAGAAGAGTCTCTTTCAGGTGGATTAGACATAGGATTCAATATTATTGCTTATACAAGATTTTACAATAATGTGTCAATAACAGTACATATAAAATTATAGTACTGTAGAAGGAATGACACTATACTATACTATGCCACTATATTAGAGGAATACCTAAGCAATTCCCTGTTGGATCTGAAATTGTTCTTTCCTTGAGACAGTTTTTTTAAAATGATAAACTAATGGTATTTATGGCACAATAATTCTTGATTTAAGTGATTTATCATGATCAATGATAATGGTAAATGGAGGAGGAAATATTGGGAGTAGAAATAACCATATTTCCCGAAGACGAATTAACATATTTTTCTGGATCATGCCCTATTCTTTTCCAGGTAATTGCCAACTTTAAACCTTTTTTTAAAATGAAGTGGTACTTGTTATTACCTTCCCAAAATACCAAAGTAGTGATTTACTATGTCAAATGAAATAAATAAAAATGCAGTCACATGAAATATGATTTTGCCACACCTTTTAAATTGACTTGAGAAATTATTTACAGCAGGAATGAGTACAGCATAGAACAAAAGTGAAAAGCCACATCTCCCAAACCCCTGTTCTCCTAATTTATTTTTTATTTATTGATTTGATTTGTCAATCGCTTACAAGATAACAAGTATAAGTATAAATATAGTTATAAATACATGAAATGGATTTTCATGAAATACATGAAACTTTAACCTTAGACTGTCTACTATTGACCTCACCCCTTTCCTAAGAGGTCTGTAAAAATAAAAAAATAAAAATAAAAGAAACAATAGGACAGGGATGGTAGGCATGTTGGTGCACTTATGCACGCCCCCCACAGACCTCTTAGGAAAGGGGTGAGGTCAATAGTAGACAGTCTAAAGTTAAAGTTTTTGGGGTTTGGGGAAGAAACCACAGAGTCAGGTAGAGTATTGCATGGAGCATGGAACCTCTTGTGCAGTTTCATGTTTTTCCTGCACTTGTTTTAGCCAGGAATCCAGTTTAAGCTGAGGTTATTGTATAAACTAAGCAACAATGTCAGTGTGATTTCTAGGATCCAATCCGATTTAATTGACATCTACTATAGTTTCTGTATGGTTTCTCAGCTAAGATGGAGCCTCTAACTCATTTACACAGGATGCCCTTGTAAAAACAATCTCAGTTGGTTCAGCCTTTAAGAAAAGGAAGACTTTTGCTTAAACTGAAAAAACTCTTGCTGCCTAATGATGTGAATATCACCATGGAGATTTCTTCTCTCCCACTCCCATTTTTTTTTGTTTTTGCAGTTGTTTCTTTTACATGTAAAAATGCAGATACATTCCCTGGCTTTTTCCTAAATCCTTGTCTTGCAATTTGGACCATAAATTAAGAAGGGGAAGCACAATTTATCTGTGGCAAATGTATTTTATAGTTTTTTGTAGCACACGCTTGTGTAATGACTAAATGAAGTGGGGTGTGTGAATAAAAGACTTTTGAGTCAAACACAATAGGGAGGAAATATGTGATCTAGTTAATTTGAGAGAATGAGTCAGTCAGCTGCCTTGGTAATTTAGAGAGATAATATACAACTGATCTCTTTCTGGACATATGGTGCAACTTTAGAAGAATTGTTATGATTACAAGTGCTTTAGGTTTTTTAAAAAAATATTTTAATTGTTTAGATTTAAGCTGTTTCACACAAATGCATCAAACACTGCAGAGAATGAATTCTGTATATGGAAAACATCCATCAGATGCCATGGTCTTTCTGCAGGATGATTTCTAGAACAAAATTGTGGCTGAATTGAACACCGTGTCAGCAAATAAATAGCAAAGATATATTAATATGGCCAATGATTCCTGTCTGTATCCTCTCCATGTGCAGAGATTTTAAAACATAATTGACAAGTAATTGGCAGAGTATGCATGTATGTATTCCAGCTTTGACATGAAAGTTAAGATGGCTAACAAACAATCTCAACAACCACAAAAAAACCAGAATAAATCATTCTGCGATGATACCTCTTAACACCATCAAACATCCACATCTGCCTAATCCAGGTCCTCGGGAAGGATTCAATAGGTGGATTAAAATTCAAAATTCAGCCTGAACATCTGGCTGAATGTATCATGAAACAACTAGAAATAGATGGTGTCTTATTCCTCCCCATCTGTTAAGGGTGGGTATTCAGTTCTAACATACATGGATTCTTTTATCCCTCTTTCAAACCAATGGTCTCTTTTTGTAAAAGTCCAGTTTACAATGTAGCCCATGATTTCACGACCAATTGCACCCTGTTTCAAATGAGCATGAGGGCACAGATACTCCCCCCCCCCCGCAAGTCAGAGTTGGTATTTAGCAGGTTCTGACTAGTTCTGGAGAACTGGTAGCAGAAATTTTGAGTAGTTTGGAGAACCAGCAAATACCATCTCTGCAGTGGTGGGATTCAATTTTTTTACTACCGGTTCTGTTGGCATGGCTTGGTGGGCATGGCAGGGGAAGGATACCGTAAAATTTCCAGTCAGAGGCGTTATTTGCCGGTTCTCTGAACTACTCAAAATTTCCACTACTGGTTCTCCAGAACTGGTCAGAACCTGCTGAATACCACCTCTGCACCTTTGACTGGAGATTTTACAGTATCCTTCCCCTGCTGCACCCACCAAGCCACGCCCACAGAACCGGTAGTAAAAAAATGTGAATCCCACCACTGCCCCAAGTGTCCTCAACAGGTCTCAGAGAGTGCTAATGACCAGATGACCTTCCATTCCCCCACCACCATCCTATCAGAACTATCCTTCCACCCCCAGCCCCACCATCAGAATTGATGAAGCTTCTCGAATGAGAAGTGAAACATTTTCTTCTTCCTCAGGAAAAACCAGTCTAGCTGCCTTTCAGATTGCTGACTCATATTCCCTTTGCGGTTTGTCTAATATTCCAAATAGTATTATCAAGTCAGGTGCCCACCAACCTTTACCAGCACATTTGACATTTGTTTCACAACTAAAGAATTTTGCACTCTTCAATTTCGTTTGGTTACGTTTAGCTCATTTTCTCATGTGATCTTCTCAATGTGTTCATTTCCTGTATGTTCAACTTTTGTTTTTTTGTTGTTTTCACTTTTGTAGAGAGACATTGACTTCTTTTGCTGTTCCTCCTCATTGGCATGAGTTGAGGCTAGTGAATGATGTTATAATCATAACAGTGCTGGCTTGGGAATTCTGGGTGTTGAAGTCCACACGTGTTAAAAGTTGCCAAGGCTGACAAAAACCCACTTCACTTTCTTATCTTTATGTACTTTAAAAGATGTGAAATTGTGTGAAAGGATTCCAAACTAGCAAGCCCCACACTCTCTCTCTTACATATCTTCTTCTACTCATCCCATTCACAAGTATAAAAAGAAACAATGGATACAAGGATTTTCTTCATTCAATCATTTGGATGCTATAATATAATGGCCCCCAACCTTTTGGGCACCAGAGTCTGGTTTCTGTGGACTGGAGGAAGCATGGTTTTGTACGTTGCCTGCATCCTGCAGATGAGGCTTCACTTGTTTGCGTGGTTGCTGGCATGTCGCAGACCAGTGCCAGTCCATGGATTGGGCATTGAGGAGTCCTTCTATAATACAACTGTAGAGTCTACAGGCCTATACACTTACTAGACTTTGATTAAAACAAAACAAAACAGTCTTACAGTTAGTGGATGATTGACTTGGTAGGTGCTTAGCAACTCTCATTTTGTTAATTTTACTTTAAAAATATATTCCTTATGAAACAGAATGATAATTATTAGTACTTTGCCTTTGGCTCCAAAAATATTTTTTGCGAAATCAATCTGCCTTAAAGCATCTTTTTTATTGCTTGGAATCCTGCCACTTTCTTCATGAAAAGATGAAACTTCCAGCTCCAGACTTTTCTAATGTTAACAAGGGGAAAGGTGACAGAGAACAGTTTGGAGGTCTTATGTAATAAAATATGTTAATGTAATATTTTGTATATAACATGTCTTGGAATAATTATATGATTTTCATATTGCAGGTGGTGTGCCTTCAGGATTTTTTTGGTGATGATGACATATTTATTGCATGTGGCCCTGAAAAATTTCGTTACCAAGATGACTTCTTGCTAGATGAAAGTGGTAAGGAAATATTATTGTTCATTATAAAATAAGATGGTAATTTTATTATGTGTTTTGAATTTGCCAGTTATTTCCTGGCAAATGATGGTGTAAAATTCTTGGTGCTTTCTGCACTTGCTTGCTTGCTTGGAGATGTTTCATTATCCAAGTAGGTAATATCATCAGTGTAAGTGAGTGAAGTGAGTGGATTTGCTGTCTCTTTATATACAGTAGCTTGCTCTACCAGTTATGATGAGGGTGTGGTTTTCTCCTTGTGGTTCCTTAATTAGAGTATTGTTTTCTACATGATTGTTTATCTGCTCTTGATGCCTGTTTATCTGAAGATTGACTGCTGGAGGGGATGTGTTCTAGTCTAGCAAGCTACTGTATATAACTAGGTGGCAGACCCTACACTCACTGGCACTAATTTATGTATTTATTATTACATTTATTTTTTGCTTAAATTTATATAGCCACCCATCTCTCTTTCATGATTCTGCAAGCCAACAGCTAAGCTCAGAATGTGCCAAGAACTCCACAATTGAACCATGAGCTACACATATTATTTTCTGTTGGAATGACAGTAGTTTGGGACAGGAGAATTAAATTAAGCCCTCTTAAGAGTACCATAGCTATGCCATGTTATCTTCAAAGTCCTTACAAATAGGCATCAGTTAAATGAAGCCAGAAAGATTGTGTCAAAATAATCATAGGATTGATCCTAAGATTTTTGCTTCAAAAGTACACACCAGTCTTTTCCAGCCTGGACATGTTCCATTTATGTGGAATTTAATTTCTACCTATTAAGGTAGCTACCGAAATTACTTTGTTGGGTGAAGAGTTTGGTTCAGAGGCTTGAAATTTCAGCATATCAAAAAAGGTACAAGGTTCTTTATGATAGCTAAAAGAATGAAGACAAAACTATTTAATAAAACTATTTAATAATGCCAGTTAGGATGACTGCTCTAGTATGGTCTCTATGTTCACAGAGTCAATATAAGCCATTAGATGCTGGCTGGTGAGTAGAATCTATAACAGGGATACCAGCCATTGTGGAAGTAGGATGTTGGGCAATATTGTTTGATCAAGGTTTGCCAATATTACATCCTTAAATGTGCATTTGTCACATTTGTATAATACACACATAACTTTTACACCAAATTACTGTACAAAAACAAAAAAAAAACCTACTGGTTCTTAAAATAGATGAATAGTACCTGATAATTCTGAGACAGAAATATTTGAATATTTCATGTCATTGTAATTTGCTATCTTGAGCCTAGTTTCCCTAGTGCCAAAATTTCTTGGTATACTCTGACTGGCAGCTGACATGATGCCAGGAAAACCTTATTTCATTTTCAAAATGTAATACATCAGAAGTGTCATGTTTAACCACCAGGTTTTTCTAACCTTGATTATTGAGGCAGAGAAGAAGGAGAAATAAGAGATCCATCAGTTGTGATTTATGGAACATTGGTTAAATAGTTTTTTTTGGCTGTGCTCTGGAAGATGGTTTGTTCACCACCCTGCATCAGGGGAAGGCACCTTCCTGGTACAAAACCATCCTTAGGTTTATGAAAAATCTCCTACATCATTGCTGATTTTAACAAGGGAGTCCGTTCTCAGATGTTAGAAACCTGCTGTACCAAATGCAACATGATTAATTAGTGCATTATCTTGCTGTAATAAGGTCTGGCAAATGAGCTGTTACATGAGTCACTGTATGGGACTCCGAAGTATTTTTTTTCTTTCCCTTCAATATAAAGGCATGCCAAGGATGGTGGCTTGTTGATAATAACAAAATCGGTACCTACTTGGGTAGCTGTTAATTTTTTTAAAAAATTATTATATAGCAACAGAGGCAGAGGTGGTATTCAGCAGAGGTGGTATTCTGGAGAACCTGTAGTGGAAATTTTGAGTAGTTTGGAGAACCAGCAAATACCGCCTCTGCCTGGAAATTTTACAGTATCCTTCCCCTGCCACGTCCACCAAGCCACACCCACAGAACCGGTAACAAAAACATTTGAATCCCACCAGTGAGCAGAGGGGATGTGGTGGCTCAGTAGCTAAGATGTTGATCAGAAAGGTTGGCAGCTCAGCGGTTTGAATCCCTAGCACAATGTAACCGAGTGATCTCCCATTACTTGTCCCAGCTTCTGCCAACCTAGCAGTTCAAAAGCATGTAAAAATGCAAGTAGAAAAATAGGGACCACTTAGCTGGGAAGGGAACAGTGTTCCGTTCACCTTCGCTGTTTAGTCATGCCAGCCACATGACCACAGAGACGTCTTGGGACAGTGCTGGCTCTTTGGCTTTGTAACGGAGATGACCACTGCCCCCTAGAGCCAGAAATGACTAGCACATATGTGTGAGGGGAACCTTTACTATATAACAAGAGAATTTCCCCAGGGCTTCCGTGAAGATCATGCTTTAATGTAGGGTTAATGTGCCTTAAACCTTTGATTTAAGAATGCATTCTGTTTAGAAAAGAGCAGTAAACACAGAACCTTGATTTATATTGTTTTATTTTTTTGCTAAAGATGGTACCCAGATAAAACTCAGCTCTAAGATGATACTGTAATATAAGGAGTTATTCCAGTGTAAGGACACTTATTTTGTAACTAAAAGACTTACAGGATTTTAGCCAATTAAGTTAGCATCACATGCTATTTTTATTAGTCCAGAATATCTGAAACTGGGAATATGATTTTTCTGGGGAATTGCAAGCAAATTTAAGGGGTTGTACCCAGTTGTACTCTGCCTCGACATGAGCAGCTTTCACTAGGCTGCTTGCAGTGGGTTAATGCCATTCGGCTGAGCTATTCGTTAATGGCCTTTGCATTCAAACAGAAGCTCTTGCCATAGGCCTAACATAGCCCTGTTTCAGTTCACCAACCAAAGCAATGCAGCCAGGATCAAGATGCCTTTCATCTTCCAGGATGGTGCTTCTCCTGGACATGCGTGCCCAGGCAAGGCAACCCGAGTAGGCTGTTCTCTCATCCTAACCATCATCCTTTTGCAAAAAGGACAGCCCAGTGGGAACAAGCCAATTTCAGCCCTGGATGGACAGCAGAACAAGAAACAACTTCACAGAAGTTTAAAGCTACTTTTATTATGACAGAACTAAAGTAACAGAACATTGCAAGTTTGATTATACTTTATCAACCTTCTTATGTGATTTAGGAAGTTGTTTGAGAATTTCATGTATAACTTCTTGTTTTGGGCTTAGGTTATGCTTAACATTGCTTTGACTGTTGCTGCTGTGTTGATTTGACCAAAGCCCTTTTCTAGGTTTGATTGGGCTTAATAAACACAAATTAATAACCGACAAGAGAAAGATCCTTTGCCCCTCAGTGAAGCAACCCTTAACTCTATATCCAGTTTCCTGTGATATGTCATTTCATTTATTTACTTCTAATACTGTAACCTTTAAGTTTTGGAGGAGGAGTTTACTTGACTAGTGGATAAACCCTTTGTCAATCTGGCATCAGAAGAAAGAGGCTGGGGCACTCCTTTCCTCTTATTAGTTCAATTCAGATACAGAATTTCACTTTGTAGATACACTGAAGCGGTGTAGTGCATTTCATAAATTTACAACATTTCTAAAGTTTTGTTTTCACTTTGTCACTATGCCGTACAGAATGCAGATTAATGAGAAAAAAAGTGAATTTCAAGAACTATAGAATCAGGCTGTAGCATAACAAAAATGACAAAAGTAAAGTGGGTCTGAATACTTTCTGAATGCACTGTATATGCATTTTTGCAACAACACATCATTTACATTTAAATTTCTGGGGATTTGCTGCCAACACTTTAATTACATGGCACAGTGAAGCTAGGTGAAATCAATTTTGTAGTGTATTGTCAGACAATGCATTTTTTCAGAGTCTCAGATGACTTTTTCCAGTCTTTTCTAGAGAAGTTGGCAATTGGAGTCTACACTTTTTGCATGGAAAGTAGGTGCTCTAATAGAATTAAGGTTATTCCATGACTCAATGCTTAATCATTCATATTTGTTATCTTATTTCCTATGACTAAAATCTGCCCAATTTCTCTGGATAAACCAGAGCCCAAACAAACCACACAAGGGGATATTGTTCTATGATTGCATTTACTGAACTTTCATTTTATTCTTCACTGAATCTGAAGTCTCAGTTCTGTCTCTGTTCTTTAATTTGAAAAGAAGACGCTAGAAGTCTTATCATTAAATAAATTAAAATTAAGCCTGAATGAGTTTTTCTGCTAAGTTAAACAACAATTGACAACCAATCTTTCTTGCTTACGCTTACAATATACATTCCAAAGCTCTGGACGAGGACAGCTTTTTCTTCAAAAATGTCCACACATTTTTCTATAACGGCAATATCTTTTTGACAGTAACTTTAATTATTTAAAATCCATTTTTTCTTTAATGATGGTATCTTTTTGACAGAAAACTTTAATTATTCAAAATCCATAATTCATTAGCTTTTAGAAAGTATAAAACTTTCCTGGAGGCATTTTAGGATAATATATTCCTTCTTAATATTCATTAACTGCTTTTTAAATGGTGGAAGATCTTTTGGGGAAAAAAACCTACAATACAACAGCTGAAAAGATTTACAAAAGCTTTACTGGAAAATTGTTTCAAAACCAATTAATACTGAAATTGATTAATAACCTAAAATAAAATGAATAAAAATACACACAACTACGAGTTACTTGGAGACTAGGATAGAAATATAGGGTTGGGAGAATTCAAGGTTTATTTTTCTGAGAGATACACTAATATACCCAAAGTGCTTTCCTGTGAAACCTGGCTCTGCTTTCTGAATATCCTGAAGGGCATTTAAATAATAAATTGTGAAGTGCTGTTGGCAACTCTTTCCCAACTGATGCCCTCCAGATGGGATGAACTCATAGAATGCTTAGCCAGCTTGGTTCTGCATTCCTATTTCAGAAGAATAATTATATTAACGTGGTGCTAACAGCAATATTCAGCATAGCAAAATTTCAAAATATGCTTTTACCTCCGTATTCAAAA